AGTTGAATTAAATAATTAATTAAGCCAGTAAAATAAAATAAAATAAGAAAATTTTCAGGTCCTGACAGGAGAGGTACGTGTCTTCAAACAGGTACGCATTCCTTTTTCATTTGATACGTTGATAAAGTTGTGTGTGATGTAGTGCCTATGCCTATACATGTCATCTTGGGAAAACCTTGGCAATTTGACAAACACGTCACATTCGATGGAAGGGCAAATAAGTACACACTTTTGCACAATGGCAAACGTAAGGTCCTCATACCACTCACACCTACACAAGTTTATGAGGACCAATTAAAATTGCAAAGGGAGTGTGATTTAGACCGTCAAAAGCGAAAGCAAAGGACGGTCGACCCTGTCACTTGCTCCACTTCCACAAGTGAGCAACCCACCAAGGGTCAAGTGAGCACACCTCGTGTACCATGTGAGCATACATTGACTCAACCAACCACTAGGAAGCAAAACATGATCATTAAGGATAAGGACGTTAGAAAGCTTGTAAACTCTGATCAGCCTGTACTTCTAATGATTTGCAAACATGTGCTTTTAGATGTTGCTGAGCTCGATAAGGCATTGCCTTCGAGTATAGTTGCTCTTTTGCAGGAATTTGAGGATGTCTTCCCTGATGAAGTCCCTGATGGTTTACCACCCATTCGAGGGATTGAGCACCAAATTGATCTGATTCCTGGAGCACCACTACCCAACAAACCTGCTTACCGCATGGGCCCTAAGGAGACAAAGGAGCTTCAAAGGCAAGTTGATGGTCTACTAGGTAAAGGTTGGGTAAAAGAGAGTCTAAGCCCTTGTGCTGTGCCTGTGATACTTGTCCCCAAAAAGGATGGTACTTGGCGCATGTGCACTGACTGTAGAGCTGTTAACGCAATTACTGTTAAATACCGCCATCCTATCCCTAGATTAGATGATATGCTCGATGAACTTGATGGTGCTATCATATTTACTAAAATTGATCTAAGGAGTGGCTATCATCAAATAAGGATGAAAGAAGGCGATGAATGGAAGGCGGCCTTCAAAACCAAGCATGGTCTCTATGAGTGGCTAGTCATGCCTTTTGGGTTGACTAATACCCCTAGCACCTTCATGAGGTTAATGAACCATGTCTTGAGGCAGTTCATTGGTAAGTTTGTTATTGTATACTTTGATGATATATTGATATATAGTCAAAGCAAACATGAGCACATGAAGCATTTGAGGCTAGTTCTTGAGACACTTCGAAAGGCGCGTCTATACGCCAACCTTAAGAAGTGCACATTTTGTACTAATGAACTCGTGTTTTTAGGCTATGTTGTGAGTTCACAGGGCATCAAAGTGGACGAGTCCAAGATCGAGGCCATCAGGCAATGGCCCACACCCAAATCCGTCCCTGAGGTGTGGAGTTTCCATGGATTGGCGGGTTTCTACCAGCGATTTGTCAAAGATTTCAACACCATCGCTGCACCATTGACCGCCGTGACAAAGAAGAACGATAAATTCCATTGGGAAGAAGCCCCAGAACAAGCCTTCCTTACCCTCAAGGACAAACTCACACATGCACCAATTTTAGCATTACCAAATTTTAACAAGACTTTTGAAATTGAATGTTATGCTTCTGGTGTAGGTATTGGCGCCGTTCTCATGCAAGACAAGAGACCCTGTGCATGCTTTAGTGAGATGTTGGGAGATGCTGCCCTGAACTACCCCACGTACGACAAAGAGCTCTATGCACTTGTAAGAGCATTAGAGACGTGGCAACACTACCTCCGCCCAATGGTGTTCGTGATACACACTGATCACGAATCCTTGAAATTTCTCAAGGGCCAGCCCAAGCTGAGCAAGCACCATGCCAAATGGCTGTCGCACCCCATTTTTGAAAAATGGAAAAAAGTCGTTTGAAATCATAATGTGTAGTGTGCATGAAATATGTGAAGTGTGTGAATGTGATAAGTAAAGGAAAAGGCCATGGGACTTTTAAATGCGATAGTTTGGCCAAAAATAGTAATCTAAAAAGGTTTTGGTAAAAAATGTAGGAGTCGCCACTTGGTATTGAGTTAGGGTGTACCAAGTCACCCAAAAAGTAGCTTTTGAAAAAATGAAGTAAAACCTTTTTAGATGACTCCTAGTCTACGAAAATCAAAGAGACGAGTTCGGGGGTCACGGTTGATAAAAGGAAAGGCAAAGATGAAGTCTAAGGCACCCTTTTACCCTAGCCTAAGCTAGTTGCGTGATTTAGTCATGATTTTCCTAATTTCTAACCAAAAGATGTATGGCATTTAGATGTGTCTAATATGAATGCAAACCTAAATCTCATGATTGGTTCGAATGGGACAAAATGTCTCTTTTGAGGCTCGATTGGTCCTAATCACATGAATTGTGATAGCCATTGGTGAACCCTCAAAGAGGTCACAAATAAATGCAAATGAATGCTTGAGCAATAATAAGGAAAAAAATGAGAGTGTGCGAAAATGTCTTTGAGTGTAAAAACGAGTGCCAAGTGCAAATGTGCAAAGTGCAATTGTGAAATATTGGTGTACAAAGTGCAAGGGTGCAAATGAGTATATAAAAGTGCACGTGTGCAAATGTGAGAGAATGTAAAGTGAAGTGACAATGTGCAAAATGATAAAGTGGATAAAGTGATAGTGTGCAAAGTGGTAAGATGGTGAGAGAGTGTGTGAAGTGATAGTGGGTGAAAAAATGATAGTGTGTAAGTGAGAGTGCAAATGGTAATGTGCCTTGAAAATGTATAAGCCCTAAAGGAATGCAATCAAAATGGGTACGGGGAGACCCTAAATCGTGACTTTTGATTTGCCCTTTGGTTAGAAAGCAAACAAGCGTGCTAAGGTTATGTGGAGCCATACTCATCTGTTTCCCTTACCAGAAAGGGTAACTCCCTAACCTATGCAAGCAAATGAGCTAGTCAAAAATGAGAATGCAACCCTAGATGTGTAGGGGAAAGGTTAGGGGAACATGCAGAAATGAGAAATATTAAAATGAAAATGAAATTGTAGTGAAGCATGCAGATATGATGCTAGCAAAAAGGGGGACGGCCCTATTGGGTCTAGCATTAGACTAACCCTTTACTAACGCTCTCTCACAAGCATTGGACTTGTGAGGGCTCGAGGGGAAGACCATTATTAGCATTGGACTAGCCACGGTAACGTGCATTCATCCACATAATCAAATATAATACTAAAGCAAATAGACATGCAAAACACCTAGTTTCACATAGCACGTAGCACACAAGCATGCTTATCTAGATGCAAAGGCCTAGGAAAGCGATAAACAAATAGGCACACACAAGCACATAGCACATAAGCCCTATCTACTACAAAAGGGGATGCCTAACTACAATCTAAAAGGGGGGAAGACTTAGAAAGTAAAATCCTAACTATTACAATTTTGGCATTCAAATGCCTTTCAAATGATCAAAATTGAACTAAAAATAAGTATACAAAACTAAAACCAATAAAACAAATAAACAAATAAATGAAGTAAATAAATAAATAAAACATTCAAGAGGCATGCAATTAAACGCGTAAAGTCACATAGAGCACGTAGGGTCACATAAAGTAAGAAATAAGGGATAGAGTGTACCTCCCTTGAAGTTGGGGCCCTAATGAAATGAAATTATTTATTTACCCTCCAAAAATAAAGAAAAGGTCAAGGCACCACTTTAATTAACAAAATAATCACAAGAAATGGAAATAAACATGAAATTGAATCACTCAAAGCATTCAACTAAGTTAAACAACCCCTATTCATCAAATTGAAAAAAAAGGACCCATTTAAAAGAATTAAAGAAGATTCAAGGGATAAATTTATTATTATTACGAAAATTAAGGGTCTAAAAGGAAATAAATTAAAATTAAAGGTTTGAGGTGAAACCTACCAATCAAATGATAAAATTTCACAAAAAATAAATGAAAACCAATTTGCTACGATTAAACAACAAAATTTCCAAAATTTTCACTAAAATCCAAATCAAAGTTAAATTTATCAAAAAACACAAAACCTTTAAATTCCATCCCAAAATTCACTAATAATCTCTCCTAAAATCACATTGAATCATATCAAAGGAAATTAACATTTAAAGGGACAAGAATAGGTGGATTTTTCCAATTTTCTTGGCCAAAGTAACATTATTTGATAAAACAGGGGCAAAGCGCAAGTTTTTGAAAATATTTCCATGCAAGCTTCGCAGATAGCTTTCTTCTTCACTGGTTTCTGCAATTTTCTGGTTTTGCCGCTATTTCTCTTTGCTAAACATGACAAACTTCAAGACTTGGATCTTGAACAACAAACATCATAGAAACTCAATCATTCCAACATACAAAAATTTCAATCACAAAAATGTAATCTCCTGGGTTTACTTTGTTCAACACATTCAAATAGCCATAAACTTAATCAAAAGAAAAACTCACGGCATCCTCTGATAAACCCCCATAGAAAAAATCCCAAACTTCTATCCCCAAACCCAGGCCAAACCCACAAATTCCTCAACCAAAACTGAAATAAAACCCAACCTTCCTCAAATAACAAAACCCAGCCATGAAACAGAAAGCGTTAGATGGAACGCAACAAAGGGCAGATATAGTTGTTTCTTGGGTGAAAAACAGATTTTAGAAACCAAATGGTAAGAGCAGAAAGACCATCTAACATGTATACACCTAGAATACAGGTAAATGGCAAAAAAAAGAAATAACTTTGGCCTGCAAAATGCAAGGGAAAACGCAAGAAAACAGCAGAAACACATTCAATCTCAAGAATAATGGCAACATTCAAACCAGATTCACATGGCCATCAATTAAATCCCATAAGAACCACATCCCCATCAACAACCCGCACAACACATTGAGATTAATGCCTCAGATCTCCCACCCCAGATAAAATTATCCATCGAAAGGCAAAGTCATGCCAAGCAATAATAAGAACCCAAAAGGCACAGATTTCATGTATTCTGCTTCGTTCAAGAATTAGAATGAACAAGAAAATGGAGTTATGATTACCTGATGATGATTCTTGGGCAAGGTTGAGTCCAAAGAAAACGAGCAGAAGTTGATTCCTGAAAACCCTCCTAGTTTCTTCCTTGCTCTTCTACCTGTAGCTTCCTTCCTCAGTTCTCCTTCCCCCCGCAACTTCTTGTCTTCCTTTTGCTTCCTCCTTTCAGCCCGTAGCAGTTCCTGGTTTCCTTTTCTAGCTTTTTGTTTCTGTTTTTCACTCTTCACCCCGATTTTCCTCATCAGCCGCCATTTTTGCTCTTTCACTCCCCTTAGCCATCACACTTTCTTTCCTCCCAGCCGTCTTCCTTTTTCTCTTCTACGTTTATGACCCTTTTATAGGGTACTCCACTTCCCAAACCCTCACAGCAAGGGCGTAGAATGAAGCTGCATTTTTATCACACTTTGAGAGCCGTCTGATGGTTCTTGTTCTGGGATACTCCTCCCTTGAGATTAAAGCCAATTGGCTTAGTGTTGGAATGATCAAACGGAGGAGAAAAAACTGAGTGAAAAAAAATGGAACGGAATATTGCAGCTGGATTTTTTTTTGTTAATAATAATAAATAATTTTAACAACAAAAAACACACACCCACACACACAAAGATAAAATAAAAATAAAATAAGATTAATCAAATGAAATGAAATGCTAAAAAAATTGTTGATTTTGATTGATGGCTTTTTTTTTATTTTCACTTAATTTAGGTAAACAAACAATAAACTTTCATAAGTTGAATCTAAAAGAAATAACGCATATTTTTGTGAATAATTTTTTTTGATAAATTTTATGCTAAAAATGTCTTAAAAATAAAAACTAAGAGACTAAAAATGAATAATAATTACATTTAATCAATGAAAATAAAAATAATAGTAAATAAAACTAAATTTAAAATTTGGTGTCTACAATGGGTAAGTTTCATCGACACCTTCTCTTGTGTCATTAAGTACAAAACGGGCAAAACGAATATGATAGCTGATGCTCTATCACGTAGACATTCCTTGCTCGCTGTGCTTGATGCTAAGTTGTTAGGATTTGAAATGCTTAAGGACCTATATGCTCATGACACTGACTTCAGTGATATTTATGCATCTTGTATGAAGAGTCCACATGGGAAGTACTTCTTGTATAATGGGTTTTTGTTTTATGTGGATAAGCTATGTGTGCCTAATTCTTCCATTCGTGATCTTTTGATTAGAGAGGCACAAAGTGGTGGTCTCATGGGACATTTTGGAGTTGTTAAGACTCTAGCCATGTTATAAGAACACTTTTACTGGCCTCACATGCGTAGAGATGTGGAACGCATGGTTGGTAGATGTGCCACCTGTCACATGGCAAAGTCTAAAACAAACCCATGGCTTGTATGCCCCGCTGCCCATCCCTCATTATCCTTGGGTAGACTTGTCAATGAATTTTGTCTTGGGACTACCTAGATCACCAAGGGGTAATGATTCTATCTTTGTAGTGGTTGATCGATTCTCTAAGATGGCTCATTTCATCCCTTGTCACAAAATCGATGATCCATCTCATATTGCCAATTTATTCTTTAAAGAAATTGTCCGTCTGCATGGTATGCCTCAAACCATTGTTAGTGATAGAGATGTAAACTTTTTGAGTTATTTCTAGAAGACTCTGTGGCCCAAGCTTGGTACTAGATTATTGTTCTCAACCACAAGTCATCCACAAAGCGATGGACAAACTGAGTTTGTCAATCGTACACTTGGCACATTACTCAGGGCTTTGATTAAAAAGAATCTCGAATCTTGGAAAGAGTATTTGTTGCATGTGGAATTTGCTTACAATCGCACAGTTCATAGTGCAATACACTACTCACCCTTTGAGAATGTGTATGGTTTTAACCCCCTGACTCCCCTTGACTTGGCACCCTTACCTTCCTCTGAGCACACAAGCTTAGATGGGAAAAAGAAAGCTGATTTTGTGCGCAGGTTACACAAGGCCGTTCGGGCAAACATCGAGAGACATACTCAGCAATACATCCAACAAGCTAACAAGCACCGTCGTAAGATGATTTTTGGGCCTAGAGATTGGGTCTGGCTGCACTTAAGGAAGGAACAATTCCCTAAGCAACGCCAAGGCAAACTGTCCCCAAGGGGAAATGGGCCCTTCCGAGTACTTCAAATAGTCAATGACAACACCTACAAGTTGGAGCTGCCTGGGGAGTAGAATGTTAGCGTGACTTTCAATATCGCGGATTTGAGCCCATTCCTTGAGGACGACGATCCAGATTTGAGGGCAAACCCTTCTCAAGTGGAAGGGACTGATGTGTGCACAGACCTTGGCCCACGCAATGACCCAATTCGAGTACCATTAGGCCCAGTCACACGTGCACGGGCTAAGCAATTCAAGGAATCACTCCAAACCCTTGTGCAGAATGTTCAAGACCAACAAGGAGTTCATCGAGACATTGAAGGCTTGGAAGGTGATAACTTAGTTGTCTACACAATGATCCAAGCCCGTGATGAGAGCCCGTGAAGAGCCAAGTGGGCCATGGCCGATTAGGCCTTGGTGATTAGGAGTCTTAAGTTTAGATAAGTCCTTTTGTTAGCCATGGATTCGGCCCACCTTTGTCTAAGGATGGCCGAATCCACTAGGTCCTTTTTATTGAGTCCATGGATCGGCCCACCTTGTCCAAAGAGTGGCCGACCATCTAGCTTTTCGATATTAGGGTTTCGGATATTAGGGTTTCATTAGATTTGCCTATATAAAGGCTTGCTTTGTAATCATGAAGGGTAGACTCGATTAATTAATCAAATTGTTCTTTTGATTTTCTTATTGTGAGAATTTCGTTCTTTTACTTGCTTTGGCAAGGATGTTTGAGCAATCTCGCGAAGGTCCTTGATTGTTCTACCGATCTATCCATTAGATTAGTCACCTCTGTTGGAGTTGTCATTCTACCACCTTCTACCAATTCGTGTCATTCGTGTTGGTTTTAGGTTCTGCAACCTAAGCGTTGGACAACCTCACTAGATCCTTGGGCAACGTGCTACGTGTCTTGAAACATGTTGATCGAGGAGCGTATCAAGGGTTGTTAGTGTCACCTTGCGGATTGTCCATTCTCTTGATGCTTGTTCTTGAGCCAACCAAATCTGCCTTGAACCGCAATTGAACTTACCTTGTGAGGTTAAAGCTCACGACCACTAGGGCATTAATAACCTAAGGCCAGACGTGACCCTTGATTGCTTTTCCCAAACGAGATTGGTTTTCCTAATCTTGAAGGTTTCCTAATCGTGAAGCTTCCAAAAATCAGCCTCCAAAATTTTCTTCCTACTCCTACATTTTAGCCGCCATTCTTGCCTAGATTTTAAGGTTCCCTAGCCATTCATATTACACTTCCAAAGCCGCCACCTTGTCCCTACTTTTTAGGGATTATTTTCCTACACTTTAACAACATTTTCTCCTACCTTTTAGCCTCCATTCCAGTCGCCAACCATACCCTATTTTTAGGGAACTCTTTCCTACATTTTAGCCTCTACTTACTCCTACATTTTAGGAGTTTCCCTGAACCTTTTTCTTTCCAACTCCTTTCAGCCACTATCCCTACATTGTAGGTAGCTAGCTGCCACCATTCTAGCCTGTTAGAAAAGCCATTCGGACCTACTAACAAGCAAGGGCAGCTTGCATTTCTAAAAAAAAAAGAGTATTTTTTTTCTTTTGAGTCGTGTCTTCTTTCCTTCATTTCTATCCGTGTCTTAGTCCTCTTTGTTTCCTTTCATTTGAGTCATGCCATTTCATTGTCCCTCGAGTCAATCATTCCATTATTCTCTATTCCATTGAGAATTGCCACCCTCTCTTGCTCCAAAATTGGAAGTTGATTGTTTGCCTGGGAGGAGTTCTAATTTTTTCAAGGTAAGCTATCAAGAGGGCTTGAGAGCAATGGTGAGATTATTAGAGTGCTCTTTGTGTGACATACACGAGAGTTGAGTATATACACGCGAGGGAGTGAGTGAGGCATACATATCTATACTTGCACTTGTTTTGCTAACTTTTTGCAGGTTTCCTACATCATGTCGGACGGGAGCGAACCTTACAAATTTGACCTCAAACTGAACAACCTAGCATTGATGGCCGAATTTAAACGTATGCTTAAGGAATCTATGGAGTCCCTACACCAAAGGATGGACCAATTGGAGCTTTCTCAAGCTCGGTCCAACACTGTCCATCTAGATGCTCCGCCTCGCGAGGAGTTGGCTTCTAACAGCGAGGAAGATGATTTCATCCGTCGACCAAAGCAAGACTACCGGAGAACAGATGACGGGTTAAAGGGGGTCAAGATTAAGATTCCCTCATTCCAAGGCAAGTCTAGTCCAGAGACTTACCTAGAATGGGAACAGCGAATCGAGATGGTATTCGAGTACCAGGACTACACCAATGAACAAAAAGTCAAACTGGCAACACTCGAATTCACCGACTATGCCATTGTCTAGTGGGAGCAGGAGCGCACTAGCAAGCGCTGCAATAGAGAACGGCCAATTAGTAAATGGGAGGAGTTATGAACTACTATGAGAAAATGGTTCGTACCTAGCCATTACTACCGTGATCTATACCAGCGGTTCCAGACATTAGTTCAAGGAAACCGTAGCATGGAGGAATACTACAAGGAGATAGAGATCACCATGCTTCGAGCCGACATCGTGGAGGATCGAGAGGCTACCATGGCGAGATTTCTTAACGGTTTGAGGCCTGAGATCGCCGAGTTGGTGGAGTTGCAAAACTATGTGGACATGCCTGAGTTAATTGATAAGGCATCTAAGGTCGAGAAGAGGCTTAAGAGGAGGGGTAACCCTCGAAACCTTAGCTTCTCAGCCGCGTCTCTTTGGAGGGGCAATCCAACATTTGAGCAGGAACGGCCCAGTGCAGGGGTCTCTAAGTTCACTCCTAAATCCGAGCCACCCAAGTAGGCACCAAAGCCAACCACCAAGCCCCCATTCGACTCCCCCAAGCCACGAAGCTGCGACAAGTGCTTCAAATGCCAAGGATTTGGGCACATCGCTTCTCAGTGTCCCAATAGGCGTACCATGATTATCCTACCGAGCAGAGATGTAGTATCTGACGATAAGGACGAGTTCGCGGAGAAGCCCCCATTGATTGATGAAGGTGAAGATTTCGAGGTGGAGGTTGAGGCCACTACTGAGCAAGTGGGTGTTGCTCTAATAGCCCATCGGGCTTTTGCAACCCAAATCAAGAAGTGGATGAGGCCCAACGTGACAACATCTTCTACACACGATG